AAAAGAAAAAAAATAACGGACACAGCGCGAGCCTTCATTCTCACCTTAACCGTCGATACCACACTTTTGGGTCAGGGATTAAACCAGACAACTCACGCTAAACAAATCACCACATACAAAATACTGAATATGTAAACCCAAATATGTCTCACATTTTGATTCGATCCATACAGGCTACGTGTTTTTGTGGTGGGAAACAAACCAACACAACGTGCTAACTGCGTGTACAAAGGTTCTGGAAAATGCTGAAATTCGTGCAGAGCGTGTCTTGTCTTGGGAGTATCCATGGGAAGAGCTGAAGACCGACACTGCGATGAGTAAGTGAATGAAAATGTCATTTTATTTTTTTTTAAATAGCGACCTAACCTGTACTCTACATCAACATTCAATAAGCTAAAACCCCCTAGCATTCCAGGTGCGACGTTCAGTTTGCATTCCAGATTGGTTAGTTTTTGGTATATAAAACGTGAGAGTAAAAGATAATCAGAATGAAAATAGATCTTATAGAAATTTCATATCAGCTCACTCATAAAATATGCTAATTGGTTCTCTAGAAGAGGTCTGCTGGCTTTTATTTTGTTGTTTTTTCCTCCTCATCTTTTCATCTCCCATATGCTCCGTTATCAGAGTTGATACCGTTCCGTTGTATTATCTACAAATTCCACTGGGCTGCCACGTACAAAGTTTTAATGACTTCTGGTCGCTATGTATATATATTCCAGTTTGAATCTATGTGTTGTCACGGGAAGAAGAAATGGTTTGAATAAATCAGGAGCAGCAAAAAAGCAGCTATGTATCATTATGGTTGAAGTAGTTCAGGTGTGTAGCTGCGTCAGCATGGGTAGGCTGAGTGCTCACACCTGAAGAAGGCAACACGGCTGAAACGTTGTTTTATTTCTTCTCTTTAAAGCATAGAATAAACCTATCACTTGTTCCTTACGTATCACTATGGTGCTCATAAAATATAAATCAATTTCCCACGACAGCAATCTATTCCAGTGCCAATATTAGCAACGGCATCGGCATTTCATTAATTTAATCTGCGGCAGCGTTCACGAAAAAGTACGTCTGCAGTCTTTGCCAAACCTGATTTAACAACTAAACTGGTTTTTGTCGGTAGCTGCTGTGCTTTCTCATTCACATACAAATCACGCCTGAAGAAGGCTCAGCTGCCGAAATGTGATCTTTTTTCTTTACACTTTTCTGCGAGGAGCAGGTCTTACCTAATTCCCTGCGCATCCAGCGCAAACTGCCGGAACTTTCCGCTCTCATATTCTCCTGTGGCGATCAGTGGTACGGTGGTGACAAAAAAAAAAGCAAGTTTAAAACACGGTGGATCTCATAAGCTTGAATGGCTGTATATTTTTAATGTTAGACTTCTGCAAAACCCCAGAGTCCCTTGCTACTCTGCAGCATAAACTGAAAAGAACCATTATTTGAAACGGAAAATGTCCAACTTTCATGCAAACACCTAGTCTGCTATATCTTCGACAAAATAATAAGAGTTCGCATGCGAAAACAAAACCCAAGGATTTAATTCGTTTGAGTAAACTTGATAAATATTTAGGTTCCAGAGAGATTTGATTCCTCTCACTTGGCTGAGGGCCAGATTGTTGGCCATAGTACAAAGAACCTCGGACTCCCACAGTCGGACGTTAACCAAAGGGTAGGTGTTAAATGTGGAGAATTGGACGAGTGTGTGTGTATCTTTCGAGAAATGACCTCGGTAACGATTATGATTTACACCAGCTGGGGCAACAATGTCTTGGCTGTTGGCTTCAATTCACAAACTCTCCTTTAAACTGAAGATAAAATAGTTTAAATCTAAATCTATAACGTGCCGAAGCTTTCAATAGCATTGGCCCTACATTTGTTTTCCTTTTAATATTTTAATGTCAGCCTGGCGATTTGTGATTCGATTATTTCCTACGTGTTGAATAAGAGTTTTTTTTTTTAAGTGGCCGGGAAGACGATATGAAACGACTTAAAAAACTACAATAAGTAGCCCATCAGATTGTAAAAAGTGATGAAATAATCATTTTTATTCGATGCATTTTTGCTGTTCTTAATGCAATAAGCCTTTATAGGGCTCAAATCACTAACATACAGTATGTCATGCAAAACATTTACAACATTCCACACCACACAGTAACACGTCTGGTGAATCTCTGTTGGACTATCTCTCACTGTTCCCTACCAATTGAATTTCTAAACCAATGTAACTGCTCAGATAAAACAATATATTCCATAACGCGAGTGCTTGATTTCTTATTACCCCTTTTTTCACTAGAAGAACTATTGCGAAATGGACTGCTTGGAATATTCAGGCCTTTGATGTAATAGGATGGTTTTCTGACATGCTTATCACTTGAAAAATCAAAAGCCCAAGTGGTCTTTTATATGATTTTACAGCCCTTTAATCTTCCTTGTTTTGCACTGTCTGCTGACTTTGCAGTGCTCTTTAACAGAAAATCGAGGACAAGGCCCTCAGGGAAGGGTGTCATATTCAAATGTTGTTTGTTGTAGAAGGAAGCCCTGTGCAGTGTTCTGCTGTGCTTCCCCTTGGGTGATCTCTGAGAACAAACACTTCTTCAAATGTTGTAAAAGTACTTGCTACAGGTGCTCCCAAACAAAAACACAGCCCATCCTTTGTAACATATATTCTGTTGAACACGTCAAGGCATGTCATTTGCCAAACCACTTTATACCATATGGTGTCGCGGGAAGCTGGAGCCTACCTGGCAAGCAACGCGCGCAAGGCAGGGTACACCCTGGACAGGACGCCAGTCCATCGCAGGGCAAGTGCAAGCCCATCATACATGGGGAGAACTTGGAGGCCACGGTATAGGCCGAGGGGGGAAATTAGGCCAGACACCGGGATAACTCCCTACTCTTATCGAGAATGACCACTGAGAGTCAGGACCTCGGTTTAACGTCTCATCCGAAAGACAGCATCCACTACAGTATAGTGTCCTCCCCCCACTATACCGGGGCAGTAGGACCCACACAGACCGCAGGGTGAGCACTCCCCGCTGGTCCCACTAACGCCACTTCCAGCAGCAACCAAGCTTTCCCAGGAGGTCTCTCCGTAGAACATTTTTTCCAAAAATAAAAAGATTAGAAACCCTTTGCATTGGCTCTGCTCACAATACGTGACTCATTAAAATTCGTGACTCATTAAAACTGCCTTTGATGACAGGGTTTCTGAACTATAAAGCAGCTTTCTTTCACAAGCTGGTCATGTAACCACACAGGAAGGCGGCAGCAAGTTTTGCTTTATTTATTTACAGTGGAATCAAACAGTTCACATGTAAAAATATAAAACAAACGCCAAGCACAATCATATTTTACACGGCAAACATTAGCAGGTCACAGATCATCCGTCAATTTATGAAGAACAAAATTAAGAGGGATAGAAAATAAGTTCTAAGATGTCTTTCATGTTCTTTACCTGCTTAAAAAACACATGCATTTTACACGTAGCAAAGTAAAACAAATTAATACAGATGAAATGTTTGAAGAATTCAAGTAGATTACAAATTTTAGTGTTGTTATTGGAGTTACTGTATATATTGACTTTTGAAAGATAAAATATGTAAAACAAGTTGCAATTCTGATATTCACTCATGTCAAATTGAGGAAAGTGAAAACCATGAAACTGGTTTCTCCCCATTATTTATTTCTGAATTTCTTTAACTAGTACAAAACTCACTAAATAAGCACCAGTGTTCAGAACTATTGTACCATGAAATATACAGTAAAAGTAACAAGGCCTGCAGACTTAATTTGCCTGTGAATATTCTTAGAGCCAACCATTAGAAAGTGAAACGAATATTCAATTCGACCAGAAATACAAACAAATTCAGAAATTACTCATCATTTCTCCATAACATTAGTATTTACAAACTGCTATTTTAATGTAGCAAACTGTGGAAGTTTCACAGAAACCAGTTTATTGGCAACCATTGGCTTTTAACAGTTGGTTCATCCAAGCTTTCTCAAACTTTAGATTCCAGCTGGTGCGGGCCAAGCACCTCAACTGTTGTAGCCTATATTAAAACTCTGGTTGCATTACCAGAAACCTGAACCACACTGAGAACAAAAGGAACTGATTAATTTCAAATGAATTACTTGGGATCTTTTCGATCTTCCGATTGTAACAAATAAAGATTCAAAACATGTTTTTTAAAAATAAATCTCCAGCTGACAATAATGTTAAATGGATGTATATTTTTTTTCTTTTACCATTATTTCCCTGTGATCTATTTCTCGGCATGATTATTCTTTATACTTAGATTCTTGTTTCAAGAGCTGCTTCTCATGCAAACCTCTGTTTCCAGAAATGGTTCAGGCTTTAACAATTCAAAGACGTGTACTGTCAGGTCACTGGACTGCCAACACAGGCAGACTCGCAGGAAAGGGTTAACCAGCATCCAAACTTTGCGATTTCCCTGTCGAAGGGGGAAAAAAAAGGAGCAGGAATTGGTTTAGTCCCAGCCTCTTTCTACAGAAGAAGAATACGAAACACAATTGCGAGGTTGGTTATAAACTGATTAGTTTGAAAAGAGAGAGATTCCAGCTTACAACAAAAATGTATCCTACAAAACATAAATAGACATCCATGCACGTTTAATATGTACTGTACTTGTTACACCAAGATGTTCTTGGTATAGGAAATATGTAAATGTGTGTACTGTACATAACATTTCAGATTTCACATGGTTCCCATGATTTCATAATTGCAACTTAACAGTACATCAGATGCAAAGCTAATTAAATGAATTCTGACATCAACAGTTACTTTTTTAGAAACAGTTCTAAAATTGCAGATCGGTGTTGAAAAACTTAGTCCTGGGACTTGCACCGCGGACTGGGCGGAAGTACACAAGACAAAGAAATGACAAGCTGTAGAAACAAAATCAGGGGCTCTTCCTACCTCCCTTGGTTATCACATCAACTGAGCAGCGCACAGCGGAAGAGTTCTGAGGCCTCATTACTTGTGTAAACACTTCTCAGATGACATGATACATCCAGCATTGTTTGAGACGCATAATCCTGTAACACAGAGAGAAGGTATACACAAATTAATACAGAGCAGCGTTGGTTATTTCTTTGTGTTACCAAGTAGGTCAACTGAAAACTAATTCTCATTTACATTGATGGCTCACAGACCCACTGATACAGCAGGACATTTACTGGTGCAACTAATTGTTTTATTATACCAAATCAGTCCCCAATACCCCATGCTTTGTATAGCGCCCCACCTGGGATTTGAACCTGCAACATTCTGGTGCAGAGTCCAACCCACTTCTCTAGGCAATCATGGCATAGGATAGTTATGCTCCCTGCATGGAAAGGATTTGTGCATTGTTTCCAAAACATAAGCTTTATAATAATAATTTCGTTAACAGCCACAAATATTGCTCTTGTGTTTGAAAAGGGGCAAACAAAACATTGCTTTAAAAGACGGAAGCTTTGCGATAAGAGTGGAAAAACCAGGAGTACAAATTCTCTGCAAATGTACAAGATGATCTCCGAATCATCAGATTGCGTTCTGAGAGCCGCTCTCATCCACAAAGACACCTGTGTGAGGCATGCAAATGAAGTTTCCTAAGAGAACTGCTGCAGGTTGGCTTTAAAACCACAAAATGACAAAGTGCAAGTTCAGTAGCCTGGGCAGATCCTAGTATATGCAGAAGAGTCATCTCACACAGAGTATATTCTGATGAGACTGGCCACACTCCCCTCAGAGTGTGAGGATTAAGCTAGAAATTTGCTTTGGGGGTGTAGATGAGATACCAGAGAGATGTGCTACTGAAAGTCCTGGGTGCGAGATTTATATATGCAAGTAGAAGTTTGAGAGATAATGTTCCAATCTTCCTCCTGAATTTCTAGTAGAACTTTGTCATTATTCCATTTTTATATATAAGTATAGGGCTAGCTGATGTTAACTCATATTATTTCAACAACACATGCAATAATACTTCATTTCATTGTATTTAATAAGATATCATTTGATGTAATTTGTCTACCTATTGGTATTACACCAGGCACTGAATACAGAATTATTTTAACATGCAGTTTTATTTCCATAAAATGTTTTAGGTCTCCGCACAAATCTATGTAAAATAAAAAGAAAACTGATTTATATTCAAAATGTTTGAATTGAAGAAGCACACTGCTGTTTTATTTTTTAGTAATATAGTATAGATGTGGCAGAAAAAGACATGCTAAGTAGGCTTTTAAAATTAAGTTTCTGCAAAGGGGAATGTGCTTCATAACATGTTAGAAATGAAAAGAAACACAGAGTGACAGATTTCGCAACTTCAGTATGAAAGACAAAACTGTAGTTTAATTACAGAGATTACTGTACTGTAATCTCATTAGCATAACTGCTGAGACCTTTGCACATTTATTACTCCAAACTGGGGTGAAGGTTAAAGATATTCATATTTTAAATCTACTGAACTTGGATGACCAACTATATTCGAACTACTAACACTATTGCTAAACTCTCAGGAAACGGCAACACCTCTTTTACACAAACAAACCCTGTGTTCATTCTTGCATTCCGACCAATTACCTTTTAAATAATTACACAGTGCAGGGGAAACATTTACAAGCAAAAGCAACATTCTGTTGGCATTGCAACTCTGTTGGCATTGCAATATAACATGCATTTTCTCTACTGGAATAAAGTGAAATTCACATAGATCAGTCTAATGTTTTAAAGACATACATTGTGAATGCACTCTACTCAAACACACCATATAATGCACTATATATATATAGTTAGATCAAAAGCAAATCATTGCTTCCAGTGAGCATAAGGTTAGTGTTGGGTAGGCTGTCTAGTTTTGGCCTTCCAGGGCCAGTGCTTCTGTAGGGTTTCATTCCAGCTCAGGTCAGAACACATTAAAGCACCTCTTGACTGACTCCACTGAACCAGTTTCACAACTGCTCCCAGCTCTGCAGGCCTTACAGAGACAGAGAAAACCTGGAGACACAGCGGCCTTGCCAGACAAGGATTAGACTGCTGGATGACCAGATTGCAAAAGTAAAAAAAACATGGGGACACGGAGGGTTGGTTATAATTAAATGTCTAAATAAAAATAACATTTTGTGTAATATTAATAATAACCCAAGCAACCCACACATATCACAGCTTTAGATGATCCATCATTATAAACATTTTTGACTTATGAATCTTACATATGGTGATGTGTATGTTCTATTAATGTTGTTCTGATTCTGCTTACTCACTTCAAGAGTCACAGTATAATCTTCTAGAGAAATGAGTGAAGTGCAGTCTCTGGGTTCAAACAGAGTTACCACTGACCCAAACATCTTGCCTGGGAAACGTGGTACTTTTGGGATTTCCATGGTTATTTTTGGAAATGTTTCGATGCATTTTTGTTTTCTTTGCCATCTTTTGCCAGCTATTGACAGGACCTCTGCCCCCACTGCTCCAGTCAGACCTGTCATTTCATGACAACTGCTCTATTTACTTTCTTATCTAAGGTCTGAATTACCTCCTTATCGATGCCACCAAATTTACAGCAGTGCCTCTGAAAAAAATGGACGAGTTCCACATTGTTCTCCACCTCAGCGAGATTTACAGCTGTATAGCCCAGGAGGTGTTCCTGTAAGTCATAAATAAATAAATAAGATCTGTGTATGTTTTTGTTTTGCTCCAGCTTTAAAAAATCCGTAGACCAGAGATCCTCACACACCCACAAGAGTGGAAGACTGGATTTATTCCAAATCATGCCCCAGTGACATGACATATCTGATTAAGTACTTCATCAAGCTGATGTTCCCCTTCCACATTTGATCAGGAGAGGCTTTGAAGTCTTTGTCTTAAAATATGTCATCCAGAACAGGCAAGGAAAGCAGTAAGACAAACCCAAGCTAACTGAGATTAAATAAAAATTGGAGTCTTTGACTCCTGGTCTTGGTACATACTGGAGCATAGGGATTTCCTCCCATTTGCAACAAATATTCCAGAGTTTCGTACAGCTGCTCCTTGCGCAGAGTCTGAAACTTCACCTCACTGGGCGTCTTGCAGTGCTGGAGCTCTTTCACCGTCGCATTCAGAGCGAGAACTGTGCAGTGCAGGGGCGTGAGTCCTGCCGGGGAGAGAGAAGAAGTCCAGAAAAGTATGTTACCAAAAGATTGCAGCTTCTTTTAAGTTGCCTTCATGATGAATGACAGAAAACACGCGTTTTTGAAAAAAAAAACGGCATCATGTTGTGATGGTGACCCTCAGCAGAGACAAAATGATTTAATTTCCAGAAATAGCCCCTTATTCTTTAAAAGGAATTCTGACAGTTTGCAATTAGGAATAAAAGTAGATGTACCATTGTTGTCTGTAGCTTCAACTTCCACATTTATCCCATCACTAATGGAATTTTTCAACACCTGAAAAAAACACAAGGTTAAGGGATTTGCATGCATTTTAAAAATTAAACAATTTTAGCTTTAAATATCCAAATATTTCATGGATTAAGAGACGGCATGTAATATGAAACTACACAACACAGGGTGTATTTGTTAGTGGCTACTCATATAAGAAACAGAGATCCACTATTAGAAACAGAAGTGCCCTGTACCTTAATGATGATCTTGTTACTAGACGTTTCTTTACATAAAGAAAAACTGGCCTGTAAGCTCTAATTGACCTCAATCCAGTATGCATGTTTACCTCCAGCACCCTGACATATCCATTTTCTGCACACAGGTGAAGAGGGGTCTTGCCAAACTTGTCCCTTTCGTTCACACTGGCCCCCAGAGAAATCAGATCAGCCACCATCAGATGCTGGTTCTTCTGCGCTGCCAAATGCAGAGCTGTCTGTGCATGAAACACACAGCAGAAAGTGGAGGAGTTGCTACAGTATAGTCGCAGCTAAAGCTTGCATACTGTACATGCTTGAAGTGGGGGAAACTCTTCAAAACACTTGCTGAATGTGTAGAATAGGAACTACAGAACATTATGACATGTATACATCCCAGATTTACCTTTCCCTCAGCATCTTTAGTGTCCAATCTGTTTAATGCTGCCAGCCTCTTAGCAATGGCATAGACCGGGGCTCTTTTCCCTTGACCGACCACATCATGAAGCAGTCTGGAGGAAAAGAACAAGAAAATAAATCATTCAGAAAATCCTAACGCCCCACAACCTGAGGAGAGAGAAACTACGGGATTATTGTTTAACTGATCTAAATGCTGAATATTGTTACCATTCATGGTGGAAAGAAATTATTGTCTTTGTTTTAATACTCATGCTGTGTTTTATGATCATGAGCAGCATGTGTCAATATACCATAGTTATAAAAAGGAGGTAACCACCAGGCTGGGAGTTATCAGCCATACACAGACACACTGTTAAAATTCTACCAGGGTATTTTAATCTGGTTTGGAGTTCTTCCTGCTGGAGTTCCATGGAAAGGCTGTATCCTCAGCAATCCATAGTTTCATTTGTCACGGCTGTGATAACGCACGCAACATTACTCCCGTGCTGATAAACGTCTAAAGGGCATTCACTGGAAAACTCTACAGGATGCAGGGAAGGTTCACACTGAGGTCTGCTTCCATGCACTGAATAAGATCAACACATACGGCCAGGCTTCGTTTATATTGCTCTTTGAGGAAAAATCTGACTAGTTTTATGACAATCTGTGCTCCTTGTATGATAAGAGTAATAATAGTAAGCAAGGGAGTTTAATGAATTCTGCACAATTCCCCATATTATTCACAACAGAAGCGGTAGCAATTGTTGTGTATCCTGAATGCCGCCAAAATGATAGTGAGGATCCTACCTGTGAGGAAGTGAAACGAGTGAAATTCTTTCCAAAAAGACCGTACTCACATGCTGCCACTGTTGTCCACTCCCAGCAGCTCCTGGTCAGGAACGCCTCTCAGCACACTCTCTTCTCTCTTGAGTTGAAAGTGGAAAAAGGACAGACTGTTCCAGTCCTGCTGCAGTTCGTAGGAGACTGGGGGGCTGAGGCCCGGCAGATGGTCCGGCGGATTTTCGGAATATCTTTCGCCGAAATGTAGCGGGGGGCTGTGGTAGGCGGGGTCCGGGGGGGATGGCACCTGGTAGTCGGAGCTGATCTGGGAGCAGGCCGCCTTAGGGTGGGAACTGGACGCCGCGTCCTCTGGGCCATCGGCATAGAATCCTCCTGGATAGCCGGGGGACGGTTCGGGGGTCCGCTCGTGGGACAGGGGGGAGAAGAGGTCACAGCCGTCCGGGGAGCTGGCTGGGGAGAAGTCAGTGGCCAGGTGGTAAGCGGGGGCTGGCGGTGAGCTGCTTCCTGAGCTGTGCTCCACGACGGGGCTACGTTGGGGAAACTCCTGTGTCCAGGGCTCGGCCTGCTGAGCCGCGAGGAAGGAGCTGGCAGAGATGTAGGGTTGCGAGATGCCTCCCTGAGACTCCCTGGGGTTCCTGTAGGGTCTGCTTGCCTTGAGGTCTTCTTCCAGGACTTCGACGAGCATGGCAAGATCCTCCAGGCTTTTGGGGGACTGCTTGCTCTGGAATATTCAAAGGCATGTAATGTTACATGTGTTTGTTAAGTCAGGAACTGCATATTCCTGTCTCATGCCGTCTGATTGCAGATCGCCTTTATTGTGTCACATTGCCCTAATCCTTATGAAAGCCATCTCTGTAGCAATTTTCCCATGTCAACAGCATGCACTGGATGGGTCGGCTAATGTTAAAACCGATTCGCCCACGGCTTTTGATACATCAATTATTATAAAGCTTACCTGCCTATGTTTCCGGTCTCCAAGTGGATGGGCTCGTCTTTTCTCCCCTGCAAGGGAAAAAAAAAACAGCAGCACATTTAAACGAGTGAACTTCACACAAGCCTTTTATCTTGAGGAAAGACTTCTATTAAAAAAGTAGTGTTGTGTATTCATGCTCTAACACACACCTGGCATCGCTTTTGAAGATGCTTTCCCAGGTGTTCCCTTAAAAAAACAAACAGGAAAAAGTCAGAAACAATCAAAACCTAATTAAAACATGTAAACGGGAAATGAAAAACACGTTAGAGTGACAAAAAGTCGTGTGTTACCTGGATTTCGATAGGTTCCAAGCCTTTAGCAATCCTTATTTTCCTGAGCATATCCCTGACAGGCATTCGTACTCTGACTCCCAGGTACTTTTTCTCCGATTGAGAGTTCAAAAGTATAGAGTCTAGGAAAATAACGTGAAGGTAACTAAATTAAAACGTGTATTGTATTATTGAGTTAACTAGAGATCACAACCCAGTCCCCATTAGGCATCGTTTCTGCATCTTGCACATAATTAACATTTTGGAGGGTATTTACTTCCTACTACTTGATCACAAAACACATCCCTTTTTTCTCTTCTCGAAATCAAACTTTAAAAGGCACGTACAGTATTAGTGCATTTAAACGCACACTATGCAAACACCCACAATTATTTCGTAAATAAAAATGAACCCCCTAAAACGTCTTATTAATTTGGTAATAGCATATCAGCCATACCGGTCGAAGATTTCGCATTCGATTCTGGCGAGGTGAATTTTCGCTTCCCCTCAGACTTTTGGGTGTCTGTGTCACCCGACCCCGGCGATCCGGGACAAGTTTTGAGACCTGGCAGAGGTGACTTATTGGTGAAGGAGTCGGTGCGGCTGGTTGCTCGCCTGCCCTGCTCAAGCACAAAATCCGTGTGGTTATTGAAATTGATGATCATCTCTCCAGTGCTGGAGGTGACGAAATACCGAGAAGTAGAGTAGACGCGCTCCCCTCCAGAATGATAAAATCGGGGAGTCACGAATCAGTCCTTGTCCAGAGGGAGGGTGTTGTGTTCACCGTCCACGCAGGTTTTATTTGGTAGTCATCAGGACAGATCTGAAAAAATGCACGCTGCAAATGAAAAGGAAATGATAAAAAAAGCCAAATATTCCTGGGAAGATGAAATATGATCATAAAAGATGCACACTTCCCAAACACCTTGCTGCGGTGGGTTACTATTGTACTGTTTGTGAGGGAATTCAATCCCTCACGACGGTGAGCGCTTATATTTGAAGCACGGGGCGTGGCATATGGGGAAAAAAGTGTTTTCGTGACATAAGCAGGTTCCAGAGAAGTGGTGAATTGCTTTGTACAGCGTCTTTTGAGATTAGTTACGTAGCTGAAGTTTCGGTGCAATATTGCCAAGTTCATGTATACGTTCCATGTCTGGGTCAGCAGAAATGCAGTTCTCCGAAAGTGCTCTTTCTTTAACGTGTCTCTGTAGCAAGTGCGGCTTGCAAAGTGACGAATTTACAAGGGCGTTCTCTGTCTCGCCACGTCATTCTCTCACAGTGTACAGTGGACACCAGTTATTTGATTGAATCACCCAGATATTTCGTTGTTATTTCTTTCTTCTGACTTGCAGATAAGATTTTTTGGTTTTCAGTGAGATACACGTAATGGGAATGATTTTTCAAGGATCGGGATCCCTGGGATATAGCCAAAAGAATACCCCTCATGTTTCCCACAAACGCCTGTGGGCAGGTGGGTACATTAATGTTCTTCACATGATATTCTCGCGTTGGAGACTTCCTTCTGTCACATTCTGTATTGCAACCTGCTATTTTGCGGTCTGCTTTAGCGCTTACCGGGGGATTACGGGTGACCTACGGTACTGTACGTTCTCTGTCAGCAACAATGTCGATGCTCCTGGACTTCTGGCAGTGGTGATTGATGTCTTGGGAATGCACAAGGTGCAGAGATTTTGCAATCTGTAGATTTTAATTTGCTAGTGGTTTTCGAAATCAGAGAATCACATATTTTCATGCTATAGAGAATTACCTGCACTTTCACCGTCCGATATTTCATATTTTTTCAGCCTTCGGGCATGCACATGTTGAAGAGGAAAACACTGCACCTGCGTAGGCGTCATTACCGTCACTTGAAGAATGAGCAGTGAGTTTGAGTGCCCTGTGCCAACAAGATACAGTAGCTAGAATCATTTTTTTCCACCCGTTGAGCTGTACAATGTACAGTAGGTCTGTGGCAAGTAGTTTGGTGGTTTGCTTGTTTTTTCCCCCTAATGTTCTGAGGTTAAAAGGCACAATGTAATTTCCACTTTTCTCCTCTTGGTTCACGTTCAAACCTTTAATCTAAAGATGTCCATTGGGCTGACTTGAGGAGTTTGAATACTTCAGGAAGGAAGTTCACTTTCTTCACCCTGTTAGTGAAAGACATTCCTTTAAACCTGGGAACTGGTTCTGTCTGGTTACACTTCTCTGGACTAATTCTTGAGCAGCACTTTCTATTTTTCTGACAAGGTGGCTGTTATTATGCACAGTACCCACAAACATACTGTACCATCACTAGATTTGAATTTGATAGTTGATATAGCCTAACAATGTTTGACATTGTCTTATTTTCCTGCTCAGAAAATCAGGGAGCCAAAATATTACAACTCATTTGGCAAGAAGCCCTTTCAGGTTGAGTGCTTCCTATCTTATGTTTATAGGGTGTTTTTACAACCTGCATCTATTTATATCCACCAGATAGGAATAAGAAGAGGTTACTTCCAGTACTGTCAAGTAAAAAGCCTTCTTCAGGTGTGATGACTTTTCTAAAGCCAGGTGCATTTTCTCTGCCTCTGCTTTGACTTCTAATCTCTGTCTCTTACTTTGCATGCTGACAGAGTTCCTCACTGCAGCTACATTGAAACCAAGCCAGCTGTCTCTGCTGCTGAATGAAATTGGTTTCAACACTTAATAGCGTCACCCAAAGAGGGGAACGCTAGGAGCTACAACGTACCACTGAGAGTCGCTTAAACACGCAGTCAGTCTGGTATGTCCGCACCCGGTTTTGGCGAATGAAGAAGTATTGCGATTTTAAATGGGTTTGAATTTGGTGAAATATGACACGAGTCAGGGGAGCTGGGCTGTTGTTAAAGCAAGAAACCCTAGCAGACGCATTGAGAATAAGTAGTAGTAGTGGCGCAATCTAATATATTGCTACATGACAAGAGGAAAGGATATCATAGACATTACAAATCCATCTAAAGACACAATAAGAATACCTTTTAGGGGCTTCCTCCTTTAGGCATTATATCTTATTCCGGGAGTGGCCCACCCTGGTCCTTGAGAAATGTTAGGTGTCGCCACCTAAAATTGGCAGTTTCTAAGCCCTGGGAACAATTTTGTTTTGGCCACGGTGATGTATTCAATTAATGAGTATCGAGATCTTCCGAAACAGGACTTGAGAGCTACTGGCTAATGCCCCCTATCTCTCAAGGACCACAACTGGCCATTAACGGAACCGTTGATCTTAAATCAAAAGTGACCTGTGTTTGCAAGGAAAGGGGTTGAAAACATTTTCTGTAGCCAAACCTTGTGCAGTTCTGCAGGAAAGATGTCAGATCAGCTCAAATCACCCTTGATTATGGAGGTAGAATACTGTATGTTGTTTTTTGTCATTGTTTCAGAATATTCCTTTATTGTTTGTGTTTGCATAGATCTGGTGACTGAGAAGGCCATGATACTTAGATAACATCAGTGTGATGCTCATCAAACTATTGAGTGCTCCCCCCTGACCCACTTGTTAAGATCCCTGCTCTGTCTATCTCCCCTCATTCTCATAAGTGACCTGAGTTAATTAACTAAAACGTGTCTAGGCTACCACCAGAGGGCAGTGCTTCTTACCTGGACACCAAGACCTCAGGAGGAAAGCAGAGCAGAGAAAAAAAAAGAGTCTATCTCCCCACTTTCTTGTTAGTTAATTAAGACCCCTTACATGTATTTGGACTACCACCAGAGGGCAGGCTTGGAGCACCAACCAGAGAGGCGGCCACAGAAGTAAGGCAACCATGAGACCATAAGAAAGACACACACTTTTTTTATTAAAATGCCAATGTTTTATAGTTCAAGAAGGTAGCTGCATCAGATGCACAGGCACAAGTAAAGGTTTATTCCAAAAGATGGATCTGAAGAAGGCTCCACAGCCAAAACTTTGTGTTTCTTTTCTTCTACTTTCAGCATGGAATAAACGTTTACCTCTCAGTTTCAGAAAGAACCATCTGAATTGCGGTTGGAGACACTGCATATAGATCAAGAAAGCATCTCTTGGACCTTGCAAATCAGATCAGATTCAACAAGGAAAACCCTCAAACAAGTGAATGATTACTGTGGTGTGACAGCTGTCGCACAGTCCTCTCTCTTGTGCCACACAGACTGAAGAATCAGTCTGGCAAGAGCTTTGCAATTTTACAGGAGCTTTGGTTTTCCACAGAACAGAATCGCGAATTTCCAGCTTGGGAAGGCCATAAAAACATACTTCCACATTGTTATAGAAAATGTCATGTCCTACCTGGCTTAGAAGGTCTTGGGAAACACTTTGCTTCTCTTTGTGGTGAATCAGACTGCAGAGGTGAGCTTTTCAACACTGTCTGCACCTTGAGAGGCAAAAGTAAACAGGAAAATTAAGCCTATGACACCCCTGTCACACCTGCTTGTTCTGACACTGAATTCATGCTCAAGTCCTCACGCCCTCACCAAAGGAAACCTTGTTTCCTCTTAAACAAGTGAAAACCTAAAAACAGGAAACTGAAAGTAATAAACTTTAAGTGGCTAGTTCTTTTAAATTATTTCCCATAATTAATGCATATTGTTTGATTTTCAGAAACTCAGGCCTTCTTCATACCTTAGGAATTTGGGACAGCCGCCATCTTGTGCTCTACTGGCTGTCTTGGATGAGCTCTCAAACTGCCTCTAGTAGCGGTGAGAACTGCATCTCAAATCTACTTATGCAAATCCCATGTTAATAAATTAATCCTAACGAAACATGCCTATTTTATGCATATGTTATTCCTTATGAAAACTGATATTTAGATGATAAAATGTTCTATTTAATACTGTAAAAATCTTTAGATTAATTTCTGAGGAGATGTACTTGGCATATTCTTTGCCTGCAAGGGAGCTAATGGCTATTCCTTCATGAGAATCCAAATTGTTCTGTACGTTGATATTTCAGGGTCTCTAAATATTTTTTTCATACTCACACATATGCTTTTTAATCTAGCAGTGTGTAATCATATTAAAGGTGGAGAGGCAAGATAATGTCCCCAGACCTGGTTCTTTCAGAGCCTTATCAGTTCCATGAATTTGCATTGGTAGAGCATCAAGTGTCATGCCAGTCCCTGAGCGCAGAAAGCCTTATTCTTATTATGACACTTTCACTTTACATGAAACAATACTGACTTTCCCATAGTCAAAGTGTCGCATTTGTAGAAACTTGAGGCTTCATCTTCAGTGTGCTGAACAGGAAAAAGGAAAAAGGAAGCCTGAATTTTACTATCCAATCGTCATTCTTGCCAAAGATCTTCACGGGCTTGTTTTTTTAGACTAAAGAGAGGGGGAAGAGGCATGTGTGACTCACACTGAGGGGCACGGACTGTGAAACTGTCACCTTCATAGTGAACTTTCAGTTAGGAAGCTGTTGTTTGTGTGTAAATGTACAGTATGTGAAAGATAGAGGAGCACCGTTTAAAAAAGTTAGTGCTTTAAAACCTGCAAGGTTTATTCATTAAAACAAACACATCTTTGCTCCTTAATTCATCCACCTAGCCAAAATAAAATTCAGAAATATTGTATTTAAGTATAGCTTTCCAAGACAGATCCAGTCATGTTGTATATTGACCTCTTGTTTAAGTCCTGTACATGTCAGATTTGTAGGAAGAAGAGAGATGCATAGTGCTGCACTGCCGTAAGATCCTGCATTTATTGATAGCACTTCACTGTGAGATGTGTGTGACAGAAGCATCTCTTTGCAAATTAATTTTTGTCCTGCAAATTTTTAAGGGGTTATTAGTTAGGACTTCTTGTTTTTGTTCAATAACTTAATAACTTAGTTACTCCTACCCTTGAAGTCATTACACTTCATTGTAGAAACTGAGATTTTATGATATTTTGGATACAGATATGACCAAAAGACATTAATCTGTAAATCGACTTATTTTTTGGGGATTTTAAAAAAGAAACACATCCCTTGAATTTGTACACAATGGCTGTAATTGCAAAAGCAAATATCCTGTATTTTTCCACGTCTGTGTTAATCCCCAAAACAAATACAGTGAGTTTGTCCATAACTGCTTCAGTTCTGAAAATAAATGCCTTGGATTTGTACACAATCGCTGTCATTTTGAAAACAAATCTCCGGAATTAGTCAGTGTTAATTGTAATCCCAAAAACAAATACGGTGAATTTGTTCATAGCTGCTGTTGTTTTAAAAATGAATGTCTTGAATTTGTACGCAATCATAATTCGTGCCAATAACAATAACAACCACAGTAGGGTTAGGGAGGCACAGTTAGAAGTATTTGCCAAGCTAAACATCACTCTTTATGATTTGAGAGACTCCTAAACTGGTGCTTTGTTTGTGTTGAAGTTCCTTATCAGAGCAAAGCACTAGACCTATTTATAGGTATTCTTAGCTTTTTAAGGCCAACAGTTACACAGCATTTATAGATTTTTTTAAAAAAGTGTAAGAGTATTCTATATACTATATACTATATACAATATACTGTACTTCTGGAAAAGTTTCCCAGATTTGCATTGCATCTTCCTTTGTCTTCATCATGTAGCAGGATAGCATGATGGATGATATAAAGAGTTTTGTTTTCACTCTCAAATTAGAGATTTTTTGTAGGTCAATAGCAAAATAAATCTCAATTAACCACATTACGATTCCATATTGTAACAATTAAAATGTGAAAAAGTCCAAGGGGGGTGAATACTTTTCATAGCCAATGTATATTGTTAGAGGTGTTTTAGGCAATCCAGTTCTTAATTGCCTTAACTTCAACGTTAATTTTAACTTAAGCAGCCAATTTCTGAGAAGACATGTGTTTGAAAATGAGGTCTATCCTTCCTTGATCAGAAAGCTGTTTATTGTTGGTAAAGGTTGTGGAAAGCCAGAGCCTGTCGTAAGCATGAGGCACAAGACATGTCTCTACCCTGGACAGAATGCCAGTCCACCACAAGGCACACACACACGGACACCATAGAGATACTAGTTACCCTAGACAAGGCGGGAGGAGCACCCAGTAAAAAGCAGGCAAACATGGGGGAATATACAGGTTCTGCACGTCAGTCCAGAATTGAGCTCCATGGCTCAATTCTGGACTGACGTGCAGAACCTGTATATTGTCCAAGATGGTGTATATGGTGTCCAAGATCTGCGTGGCAGCAGTGCTAGTTGCCACTATTCCACCCTCAAAGTGAAGTCAGCCAAGTTAGATACGATTAAGGCAGTGTTAAAATGTCCCCCCAGTGTTCAGCTGCGTTATTGTTGTTCTGATCCATCCATCCATTTTCCAACTGCTTCTTCCAATTCGGGATCACAGGGGAGCCAGACCCTATTCTGGTAATCAACAGGCACAAGGCAGGGAACACCCTGTTGTACACCAGGGCCAATTTTCCCAGAAACCAATGAACCTACCAGTATGTTTTATAGTGGGCTGTGGGAGGAAACTGGAGCACCAGGAGAAGACCAGATTCAAACCTGGGGAGAACATACAAACTCCACGCGGAGAGTGCCCAGAGCCCCAGCACTGTGAGGAAGCAATTGTAACCCCTGTGCCACTGTGGCACTGTGCTACCTCTTTTCTGATCTAGGCCTGTACCCTAAGATGTATACAGCTACTCATGCAGCCCTGTCTGAAACAAAACACACTTGATGTATTGCTACTAGCAGGTCGTTTTGGTCATTGTGGTAAAACATGGTACTATGCTCTAATAGTAGTAAACATTCAAACAGCCAGGTAGATTCTCTATCTTTAAAGGAATGTCCTGCACCCACAGGCTTAAAGATCTGAATCTTTTTCCTTGTCTTAAACAGAAAAGACTTCAAGGAGACCTGATTTAAGTGCTCAGAATCCAAGTACTCAAGATTTGGATTCTGATGGTTTTAGTAGACTATAGGGGTCTATTGGAACTTAGTCAACTCAGTAGACTCTATCAGAATTTAAAAAAAAACAGAGGGCAGCCTGAAGCTACTCACCCTGAAACTAATATTTTATCATTATCCAATGGACCGCTAAAGGACAGGCTTATTAGGCTTTTAGCAAGAGGAGAAAGTCTGCTCATTTGTTTTTCCTAGAGGGGAATTTAGGAACTTGAATATTAAAATCAGTATTGCAATGGCAAATTCAAATTCCAACCCAAACGACAACCAAACATTCAACTTAAGTTAAATGTCGTGACCAGTACTGGTTGTTTCATATGGCACTTATAAATTTGAGCAGTTTATCCTGTCATAGTAGTCTCTGATAGTAAGAGAGGAAACCTGTGAAAATATCAAGTTAAACACTGACGAAACGTTGAAACATTTATTGTGGAGAATGGCGTTTATTAGCACACCACCAACACAATTTTATTCATTGTTTGTCTGTAGTCAGACCAGTAGATGGCAGTGTCGTATAACGTTCACATGAGAGATACCCTTTGCCACTAGACAATGGTGTATATAACGTAAATTGTGGATTGGGGCTCCCTCTTGTGGAGTTCCTATGATATGTCCCGTGTTGTGTGAGCTCCGTCTTTTTCCTCTCTACAGTCTAGCTCGTTGGGTTTACTGATGCCTTTAAATTGTCCTTGTGTGTTTGTGTATGTGTGCCCTGTGATCCAATATCGTTAAGGTTGGAGTTCTGCCTTATGCCTTGTGTTCCCTGATTGTTGAGACATTGCTGCTTTCAGATGATAACCTCCCATGACCATGTTCCAAGTAGTAAATTGCTCCTGCATTTTCCTGTGCTCTGCCATGCATTTTTGTCATGAATTATTCTTTCTGTTGTTGAAAATAATTTGGCTTGCCACATGTGCTTCATATTAGAAACATTAAGTTTATCTTTCATCAACCTGGAGAGCTGACACGTTCAGTTTCACAAAAATCAAAGAGGCCCAGTACTAATGTGTTCCTGGAAAATAAAGTAGAGAATGAAATTAATATATATGAATGCGTCAGTAGAAATTGTGAATGGGCTAACATGGACTCTAGTGCCTACTTAGTACGAAGAACAGTGTTTAATCATCAAAGGATTGACGATAAGAAGAAATACAATTTCACTTATGAACGCTTTAAAATCTCAAAGAGTTTAAACGATTAATTAAAGCCAGGAGTATGACTTACAAATTACACATCAAAACTTTACTGCAAAGAGTGAGTTTGGAAAATGCTGATAGTGGCAGCCTCTGTGCACAAGAAGGCTAAATAGCCCATCATGAGGACCCTGCTCTTCATCCGAATAAGACAACAAGAATTGACAGATCTAAGGTTAAAGAGGTAATCTATACACATGCAGCAAACTATTAAAATAATCCGGAGTCTATTTAATTTCTTAAAGTTGAAAAAGAACTCTGGATATACAAAAGCCTATTTGGTATCTTCGAACATACACCAATAAGTCAAGCATTTTAGTACTGTAATCTGTGTGAGATAAAGGCATGTATCAATATTTCAGCATGAGGCAGACTAACACAGGAGGGAGAAAGAGTTCATTTTGACTTGGTTAACACAAGCTGTAGATGCTAAGTGTCAGATCTGACACCGGGGTTTCTAACTTCCATCAAAGCTGTGGTTCTGGCACTATAACCAAAAATGAAGTCATTGCCAAGCTGATGTTCGAGACCTATAAACAGAACATCAGACTTAAAAGTCTGAAAAGCAGACAGACTTGACTTAATAGCAACCAGCTGCAGCAGTACTATCCAATTTGGTCAGC